AGATGCGTGAGTAAAGATGAAATGAAACCTTTGCTGAGATGTTGTTAATTAGTAATAAAGTGGGGTGCCACTATGTGTGCCTTCAACAGAGAGATAGGATCTGAGGTGTGGAAATGACTTGGGTAACAGGAGACTGTTGAAATAAGTCACCTTCTCAGAGACTAAAGTGCTTGAATGGTAGAAATAAATGTGTGAAGGTCTCATTTGTCCTGTGTGGTAGGACCCCTCTCCCTTTTGAAGGCAAACAGGCACGTTCCCTTGTTCTGAAGGCCACGGGGATTTCATTACCTGTCCAGCCATGGCATTTTACAGAGCACTCTGCAAGGACAGTGTGATACCCCACATGAGGGAAGGCTTTGGCTGTCTGGACACGTGCTGGATCCAGATCAGCTGGTTGCTGTGTGGGCACAACAGGCTGTGTTGGGGAACCTGTGTCAGAGCACCCGAGCTCTTGCCTTCCCCGTCCACACAGCGTGTAAACACAGTTCCAAGTGTATCAAGTAGCTAAGTCAATCCTTATGTGTAAAGTCAAACCTGTTCTAATATTGAGGCCAGGCAGCTATTTCAAGATCATAAGAGCTTTAAATAGATGGTAAGGCTGTAGTAGGAAGCTGGAGTAGACTGCTAGTGTGCCTCTCAGTGCTCTCATTCTGCTGCTGTAGGAGCGACAGACTTGACTTTACTATAACTAACTAACTAATGGGGGGAGTGAGTAGCAGCTAACCAAGTATTGATGTCAGCTTTGTTAAACATCTAGTTTAGTGGGGAATTAACTAAGCTACTACAAGATGGTAGTCTAGCAACAATTAGCATGAACCTTGTTAAACGTTTTAAGAACATTAATGAGCTCACCTAGAGACCTGAATTGTCATTTCATACCTGCTTCTTTTCCAGTGGGATCATTCTTAATAGAAATAAAATGTGATAATAATAACCTTAAACTGTCATTTTAAGGGTAGAATATTGGATTTTATGACTTCTGAGGAAATGTATTGGCAATACTCTTTGGCTTTTGATTGCTAGTGAGAACACCAACACAATCTAACTTGGATAAGTGGGAACTGGAATTCCAGGTTCCTGTGGGGTTTGTGGGATCGAGCACTGGCTTTTGTTCTCCTAGCCCTCCTTTTCCATTTCCCTTTCAGGACTCTTGAGCTGATCCCATTTGTAGGATTTTTCCAAAGACTAAATAAGAAAAAAAAGGAATTTGAACAATGAGCCCAACTTTTAATTAAAGCCAGTTAAAGTACCTAAAAATATTTTGTGACTTAATTCCCATTTACTTCGAGTAAAGACTTTTAAAAAAAGAAATCACAATATCATTATAAAAACAGCTTTTGCAGCCAACACTGCCTATCTAGGGAGCTGTCTTGCCAAGATTGAGAGCTTCACTAGACCGTGGATGTTTGCATAATCAAAGTATTAACAAGACAGGATCCCAGTCTGGAGCCATTTCCATGGAGGCTGTGGCTGCCACTGCTGTTTGTTCCCAGAAGCTGTTGTCTGGTTTGTTTGTTTGTTTGTTTTTTAATGTGTAAACTAGCTAATTCATTTTTACATTGCTTCTGTTGTGTTTGAGGGGCTTAGTTTTCACAAAACTCCCCTCCACATTTTCCAAGCATGGGGCTTCTGGAAGGGGGACACTCAGCCAAATTCACAAGCGACTGGCAAAAAATGAGCTTGCGTGTGTGGTCAGCTTCAAATGCCTTATAAATGGTACAGTGTTGGAGTTAAAATACTTTACAACTTCCAGTTACTCTTGAGAGTTTCCCCTTCTTGTTTTATTCTCCAACAAATTAAACCCGATACATTTAACCCATGTTTTATGGGGGAAATAAGGCTCAGAGTCTGAGGATGGTAAATTGGAGGTTGGAGCGTGGAGGGAGCAGTAGAGGCAGAGTCTTGGCTCTTCTGTGAGTGTGCTGGAAGATGGGGGCAGCTTTTCAAAAGGTCAGGGCTGAGCAGCAAACGGCTGCCACGCTCTACTGTTTATTTTACAGCTCTCTCTGCTTCTTATATATGACCTACGAGAAGTGTTCTTGCCCTTCTGAGGTTTTGGTTTGTTTGTGCTATAAAGTAGGTCTGCATGAAAGTAGAATTCCTTTTATTTTCCTTTTTTTTCCCCCTTTCTTTTTTTTGTTTTTTAAATCTTGTGGAAGGCAGCAGCACAGACTCCTGTACAGCTGAGCTCTTCTACAGACTCAGGAGTCCTGTGATTCTCAGGAATCCATTCCTTGCTCAATCATCTGGCACATTTTTAGGACAACCAAGATCTGAACGGTTGTCCCTCCTAATATAGGGACCACAGCATCACTGTGCTTTTTAGAATATCTGCTCTTATTTTGTTCACAGAAAAGTAAAAAAACAAACCTATTTTTCTCCTCCTATCCATACAGACTTTATTATCCTTAAAGAAACCTAAGAACTGAGCTGCAAACTAGCCAACAGCTCTGAAGGCTCCACCTTCCAAAGCATTCTTTACTGAGTGCAGGGTTGAGGCACACAGGAAAGAGACAACAGTGGAACTTCTGCAGTACATTTTAGGTTGCTGTAGGCTGAATAAATTCATTGCTTTGTATCTCTGAAGCCAGTATCTTCCAAAGCTGTTAAACTAACAAGCCAGTTCTACAAGATTCAACTAGTCCTTGGGAAAGAACGTGTTGGAAGATGTCTGCAGAGCCCTCCTCTTCTTAATTTTACTGGCCAGCTGGGCCAGCTCACAGCAGCTTGCAAATTAAAAAAGGAGCAATTATCCTAAATCTGGCCCATTCCAGAGCAGACTGCAGGAAGTTAGTTTCTGTTTGGGATCTTCATGTACTAGCTGAAAGCAAAGTGGCAGCTTGCACCTCTGACCTGCCTTGGATCTGACATGTGCACTTTGCCCAGCAGCCTCCCAAGTCAGAGCTGTCTTCCCAGTGCCTCTCTTGGTGGGAGATGCTTTGGACTGAGCCCTGGATTTCCAGTCCTTTGACACAACTGACCCACCGTGGCAGACCTCACCTCAAGCAAGGGCTTAACTGATCTCCTCAGTGCAAAGGGCCACTTGATTAGAAGGAAAAATTCTTGAGCTTTGTTAAACAGCATCAGCCTGTGCTGCTGCCTCTGTACTTCATCTGTCTGTTTGCCTCTGCTGCAAGTCCCTGAGAAAACTACATCTCCCAGTGAATTCATCTGCAGAGCCTCCTTCAGCTCCTTTTCCCATGAGAGGTTTCAGGTAAAGCTGTGGACAACCCCTGACACCTTTTCTCCCTAGGAGAGCCTCCCTAGCACCCTAAAGTCTCTTGCCTGCCAACCACGCTGCTCAGCTGCCGTGCTGTGCCCTGGAACCTGTGTGTCTGACTTGGCTTTCCAAGGGGTTTTCAGGTTATAGAATCATAAAATGGCTCGAGTTGGAAGGGATCACCTAGTTCCAACCCTCCTGCTATGGGCAGGGACACCTCCCACTAGATCAGGTTGCTCAAAGCCCCATCCAGCCTGGTCTTGAACACATCCAGGGTTGGGGCATCTACAGCCTCTCTGAGCAACCTGCTGCAGGGACTCATCACCCACACAGTGAAGAGCTTCTTCCTGATTTCTAATCTAAATCTGCCCTCACCCAGTTTGAAGCCATCACCCCTCACCCCATCACTACAAGCCCTCATAAAAAGTCCCTCCCCAGCTTTCTTGCAGGCCCCCTTCAGATACTAGAAGGCCACACTGAGGTCTCCCCAGAGCCTTTTCTTCTCCAGGATGAACAAACCCAACTCTCTCAACTTGGCCTCATAGGAGAAGTGCTCCAGCCCTTGGATCATTTTCGTGGCCCTCCTCTGGACCCACTCCAACAGCTCCATGTCCCTGTTGTACTGGGGGCTCCAGAGCTGCCCCAGCTCTGCAGTGGGGTCTCCCCAGAGCTGGCAGAGGGGCAGGATCCCCTCCCTGCCCTGTGCCCACGCTGCTGGGGGGGCAGCCCAGGACAGGGTTGGCTTTCTGGGCTGCAGTCACACCTCGTTGGCTTGTGTTGGGCTTTTCATCAGCCAGCAGGTCAACGAAGAGCTCCTCCTTCTGAGATCTATTGTGGTGCTTTCCTGTTTACCTCTGCAGCCCTCTGTTAGACACAGGCATTAGTGAGGTCAGGAAATTCTACACGGACGACACAGTAATTGCCCCTCTCTGCCCTGGCCACGCTGCCCCCCACATGGGGAGACCCAAACCCTCTGTGCCTGGCTGTAACCCCCCCATGGAGGCCCAACGGGCTGGCTGCTGGCAGCCTCCACCTTTGGGACCCTGCCCCAGCACCCGTGGGGTGCCACAGGCTCTGCTGTGGGAGGGTTGCCTGTGGCAGGGGAGCAGGGGGGGGGACTCGGGGCCGTTTTGCTTTAAAGTGGTGTGCTGAGCTTTGCCAAGGCTCCCTGCTGTGGTGGGAGGAGGCCCTGGAAGGAAAACAGAACTGTGTGCCCTGGGCTCTGTCCACCTCCACCTGCAGAGAAAATCAAATTGTTTTCCTAGGAATGTTGCCTGGAGACTTTGAGCCCCTCTTTTTGCTAATCCTTCACTAAAAAAAAAATGTGGCTAACACCCATTTTAAAAACCAAAAGGTGTAAATTTAACATTTCCAAACCTAACTGATATCCAGTATTCTACCCTTAAAAGCTTTTCACGATCAAGATTAGAATCATCAGTCCATCTTGATGGTTTTAATGTGTGGTCGAGAAGTTCCCCTCTCAGCTGGCATCAAGTCACATCACTCCCCATAATCTTCCTCTTGGTTTTCTTTTTTTAGCCTCGTCGTTCATAATTTCCTTTCCGAGTGTTTCTTTATTTGAAATGCCATTTATATTTTGTTGCCTTTTTATTTTTTTTTTCCTATTTTATTTTTTTTTCCAGCACATCTCACATCTTTGTGTTTTTGTTCTGTTTTGTTTTTAATCCTTATTTCTGGCGTTTTCCATCGCTCTGTGGCCATGGTTGTGGATGTGTTTTGGTTTTTGCCTGCCTTGCTGTTCTCTCGCTGCACTCCCTAGATCCCTGTTGCACAGTCCTCTGTCATGGATGACATTGAGGAGTGGCTCAGTACCGACTTGGTGAGACTCTTTATATTTTCATTTTTCACAGGGGCAATAGCACTGGTACAGGAGAATTCTCAATGCCTTGCTGAGTTACTGATACTTCTAATGGGAGGCAGTGAAAATCCCAAATCTTATCACTCATTTCCCTTTGGAAGGGAATATCTCAGCAGGAGGAGATGGGGTTGTCTTCAGCAATTTGATCACAACAGGGTGGTTTTTTTTTCTGAGTTATTTTATTTTCACTTCTCCACGTTAACCTCACAGAATAGACATCCTGCACTTCTGGTCCCTGTGCAGGAGAGCATTTAAACATGTGCTGAACTTTACCTGTGTTCTCCTCCAAACCTAAAGTACATGTTTAAGGCTGTGTTAGCTTTAACAGGATCTAAGTACATGCTTTTAAGAGATGCTGGATCAGGGCTTAGATTCCTTTCAAATGGAGATGTCTCTGTTAAATTGGCAAACCATCCTGACATGTCTCGTAATAGTAGTAATAAAAATTTATAACAGTCTCTCTTCAACGTTTATAACTTTCAGTTTCTGGTAAATGATTATTGTCTGGTAATTATTAAACAAACAAACAAAAGGCAGGGCTAAAAGTAGCTTTTCCTTTGTTCCAGAGTTTGTTTTGCTGTACCCACACACATTGGGGTTAAGGAGTGGTGCAGCTAGTACACATTTATTCCAGTCTGGGTTTTTTTTTAATGTAAGCATCTGACTCTAATTAACCAAGTACATTTGGGGGACGGGTGGTGGGTTGCATTTCAGACTGTTCTTTTCAACATGATTTTAGTGAACTGAACTATTTCCTTGTAGCCACCATATCCCCTTCCATTCTTCCCACATGAGATGCTATCCCTAGATAACTCCCTGCCCCCTAAGCTCTCCCAAGCCCCTTGCTATTGCCTGCTCAGCTCCTAGCTGGGAACTTGGGGCTCAGGCCCTGCTCCCCAGCCCTGGCAGCAGTGCCACAGGCACGCTCTGGCACGTCAGGCTCTGCTCCAGCACCAGAGCTGGCTGTCCTGGAAGGAAGAAAACAATCCTGCTCTCCAGAGCTGCCTGAAGTGCTTAAACACACGCTGGGTTTCAGTGTTGGAGCTTGGCAGGCTGGCTGCCTGTCTCTGAAATGTCACTGGGTTTCAGCTGCAGGTAGTTTCTTCAGGCCTTGGTACAGACAGTCCTTTTCAAATTTGATTACAAACCAGCCTCATTTTGTTAAAGAAATACAGTAAATGAAGCATGCCCACTCTGCTTAAACAATAAACTTTTGTCTTTGCCATTTAAATGAATTTAGCAAGAGAGGAGATCTCACGGAGAGATAGCAGGGTAGCTCCACATCTGACATCCCCTGGATAGTCTTGCTCAAAAGGAGCAAAGCTAAGAAATGCCACATAAATGCCTGGACAAGCCTGGGGATCACACGTGCTGTGGCTGTGACTGTTCCAGCCTCCCTCCTCCCAGGCACCTGGCTCCCCATCCTGACTGTGTGGGCACAGAGATGCCCTCTGACAAAGCTTGGGCTGAATTTTTGGTTCCCTCCCTTCCTTTTTTTTTGTTTTTTTTTGTTCATTTTGGTTCTCTTCTTCCTAGCTAAGGAAATTACAGATTAGATTAGCTCATCCTTCTTTATTTCCTTGCCCTTTTTGGGGTGTGTTGCAACAAGCAGAACCTCTGCATGCAAAGCAGTGGCTGCTGTGTGCCCCTTTGCAAAGCTCTGTGTGGTAGAAAGGTAGCAGGTACTCTGTGGCTTTCATGCTCAGCCTTTAAAAACCTTTGTGAGGCCAATCAGTACATTCCCACTCCCCTGACAGAGCAGCCAGGGTGTAGACAAATACTTTTCTTTTTCAAAGCATGAGGTTTTCAAGTAGTCCTCTCATCCATCTCTAGCATCCTGATAGATTGACAAGGATGACACATCCTTGGTCTTTTAATTTCCCTACTAAAGCACTGTTGGAACTGCTCTGCATGGCTGGTAGAAACACGCTGACCCCCTGGCATCCCATGGACAGGCACTAACAGCCCATCCAGATCCTTCATCCAGCCCACCCCAGTCTGCTCTTTGTACAGCATGGGTGCCAAGAAAGCTGCCATATTTTCATATGAAATTTAAACTGCACACCCACAGGAGGAATATTGGCCCAAAACTCTTCTCTGGCTCATGCCCTTTGTCAGCTAGAAGCAGGTTTTATTTGAAGACACAATGCAAGCCACAGTCCTGACTTTTTGAAGGACAGTGTGACAGGAAAGGTGGCATCTTGTACAGTGCTTGTGTGAGTGGCACAGCTCAGGTTTTGACCAGGCCTGTCTGAGGTGGAAAGAGCACTGCCCTGTTGTTGAGGTCCAACGTGGAGAGTGCAGCTACTCACCAGCAGCCTTCACAAGCATCTCTAGTGCCCATCCTCCTGCTCTGCCATGCAGGGCAGCCTCAGTCACCACTGGCCTCCCACCATGGGAGCAGTGCCACCTCCCCTGCTCAAAGAGTCAGTGTGTGGAAACAAGTGGTGGAACATGTCCAGTTGCATTAGGCAGGTGTAGGGGGTGACAGTGGGGGAGAAGTGCTGCCCATGTGTTCACACCCCTCTTTGTTCCCATTGCAGAAAGGAGACGAACTGGAAGAAGGAGTGACCAGTGAAGGTAAGCAGAGATCCCTCTGCCCATGAGCTGTTCTCAGGTTAGTGCTCAGACTGAATTATCTGCCCAGGTCCCTGCTGAATGCTGACATCTCCCAGCCTGATGATCCCCAGCAAACACTCCCGCACTTGGAAGGGTGGGAGGAGAGTATTTCTGAGCAGAAAGCTGGTGTCTGTGGTCTGAGGAGCCCTCCTGGCTGTGAGTGCTTCCCAGCCATCTTCCTTGGCTGTGCACGGTGTTTGTGCCAGTTGTGCCAGCGGGAATGTGTCCCTGAGCCACTCAGCCCTTTGGAATGATGCTTCCCTGCTGCTGTGGCAGCCCCTGGCTCAGTGCAGGTTTGATTCCCTCTGCTGCCTGGGCTTGGGCGTCCCAAAGGACATCCATACTCCTCCCTGAGGAAGTCAGGCTGTACAAATACTTGTGCCAGGCACTGGGATTTCAGACCCTGCTACCCTCAGCCCCGGGGCTAAACCTGCAGCCCCAGTTCTTACCTCTTTTTCATGTTTTTTTTTATCTTTTGCATTGCAGAGTTTGACAAATTTTTAGAAGAGCGAGCCAAAGCGGCGGAGATGGTTCCAAACCTGCCATCCCCTCCCCTGGAAGCCCCCACTGCTCCCACAAACCCTTCCAGCAGGAAAAAGCAGGAGCGCTCAGAGGACGCCCTCTTTGCACTGTGAAGATGCCCTGAGCCACCCCACTCATGTTTTTTTTTATCTTTTGCATTGCAGAGTTTGACAAATTTTTAGAAGAGCGAGCCAAAGCGGCGGAGATGGTTCCAAACCTGCCATCCCCTCCCCTGGAAGCCCCCACTGCTCCCACAAACCCTTCCAGCAGGAAAAAGCAGGAGCGCTCAGAGGACGCCCTCTTTGCACTGTGAAGATGCCCTGAGCCACCCCACCACCCCCACCCTCTGCGGGCCACTTCATCCTCCCACAGTACTTGGCTAACAACGA